TATAACAGATAGATCTTTGATTTACAGAAAATTAAAAATACATTTAAGAGATAGACCCATTGGAGGCTGTGGTTCATCAGTGAAGTGTAGAATATCAGGGATAAAGGACTCCCTTATACACTTTCTTACTGTGTAGTAAGTGCAGCTGTTCAGGCACCATCCCTTTAGGAACCAAGTCTGCATCTTCTATTCCTTACTGTAAAGTTCATTTCATATCTGCAAAGTTCATTTCATATCTGCCACTATAAGGGAATGGCAGCAACACTATTATCACTGACAATACCCTGGATCTTCAGACCTTTTGTGTGTGTGTGTGTGTGTGTGTATGTGTGTGTATATATGTAAATATATAGACATATATGTATATATAAAGAATCTAGATCTGCTTGGTTTTGCCCTTGTTGGTTTAATGCCACCTCTTTGTTCATGACACTGCATCATTCATCGGGCAGAATGTGATTGCCGGCTCCCAGTGACGCTCACAAATGTTTTTTCTGGTCTTGCAGATGATGATGACCACAAATGCAAGTCTTAATTGACAGACACAGGAAAAGGAGATCAGTAATTTACCTTTTAGTCGCCTTAAATCTGTTCTTGGGAATGTGATTGCCTGGGTATGGCGAGCACACCTTCCAGGTGTTTCTTCTCTTGGAAGCTTCAGGCCACAACCAGAGCTTTGGTAGAACGTGGTGTTCGAGCCATTCTGTTCATGTTGGCTGCACGCCTGCCTTCTTCCTACCTTCACTGGTACAGAGCATGAGCCAGAGGCCCTGAGCAGCTAGAAGTGTGGTCCCTTCTGTGAAAATAGAGCATGCCAATAAAAGCCTCTGGTCACACTCATCCGTATAAGAGACTAGGGGTAAGGCCAGGCTAACTAACGTCAGAGAAACAGACTGCCTTATCTTCAAGACGTTGTTCTTGTTAGCTACAGTAGGGAAAACTGACAGCTCTGACCCTGCAAATGAGCCATGCAGGGTGACTGCTGCTGCCACACAGTTGACTTTGCCAGCCTCCTCAAGCACCAGAAGTGAACTTGCCTTCATAATAGCGTGCAGATCTCTGTCTTAATAAAAGTCTCAGACTGTTCTCTAAACATATCAAGGCTGTGTGGCCTGTCAATGTGTGTCACGCAGATGGCAATCCTATTCTTCTTCCCAAATAGAAGTTTCCTCATGAAGATTTGTCCCTGTATTTCTGTTTGACAATTGAAGCAAAGAACGCCTGTCATTTATCTGGCAGGGATTAAGACCCAAGGGAAAGAACATGGGTTTCCATAACTCTGAGGTGAGAGAAGACGTTAATTGGGGAAGTCTGTTAGTAGGGTAGAGGAAAGGACTAGCCTCAGGCTTTTGTAAAAGCCTATGTGATAGTCTTGGGGCTAACCTGTAGTCCAGAGCCTGTGGAGAGGAGGCACAATTGTCCTGGAAGCCTTGCTGCCACTCTCCACTGCGTAGACATCACTTCCTTCTCATACTCCAACAGCCATTGATAGTTCTAGAAATCCACTAGCTGTTCTCTACTCAGAGTACCATTTTATACAGAAGGGCTTCTCCTTCTGGCCCATGTGCATACATGCACAAATCTGGAATCGGGATTTCTACCCTAGCCAGTGGGATAAAGTGTGCTGCAGTTGGTTTTCCTGATTCTCAAATTATCCCAGATTGAGAAACGTGCATTTCTGCCTCTGAGAAGCTAAATGACCTGAGGCAAATCACTTTGCCTTCTTGATTTACAATTTCTCATTTTGTAAGACAAAGGAGTTACATAGAAAAATCTTTCATTTCTTTTTCTATGTGTTGATCTGGGAAACCCAACATACATAATTTTTCTTTTCCTAAAGGTCTTCCTAAAATTGCCAATTTGTTCTGAGAGGATTATTTGTGTGTGTAAAACCCTTTAACTAAGGCATAATAGTGGTCAGTTTAAAGCAACACATGACTAGGTAGCCCGTTTATTTCTTCACACAGGGTGAAAGGGGGGAGTCTGGCCTTTTGTATCACAGGGCTTGGAATAATTTGGAATCCCCTGACCCTCAGCGGGGCAGATTTGCCCCTTCCTCTAACAATGGCAGCATCCCTCTGATGAGTGCTTGTTCTTAGAACTGATGGTGAGAGAAAAAGCGATTCTCACCCACCCCCTCATCTTCCCTCACGTCCCCCACCATTTCCCCCACCCAGAGATGCCCTACACCCAAAGCCCTAAGGGTCTCTCTCTCCCTTACATGCTTTCATGGCCTGGGATTTGATCTTCTTAATGAGAACTGCCAAGGTGATTTGACGAGGATGTGCATGTACTTCCCACGTCGTCATTTTCACTGGCTCCTTACTGGCAGGCCTGGCTGCATGGCCGCATTGTTCTGTGTGTCTAAAAGCACCCCCCTCCCCGCGTGCATCCCTGAAGAAGAAGGAGGAAAGGATCATCTACTAACCCCAATTTTTAATTTCCTTTTTTTAAAACATCGCATTAGCTAGTCTGCAGCATATATTGGTGTTTCGTTGAATTGTGAGTTTAGTCTTTCTTTCCAATGCTGATGAAAACATTAGAAGTCTGTCTGAATTAGAATTAAGGATAAAGAAATAAGGTGAAAAGCAAAACAAGGAGTAAGTATGTGATCTGCTTAAAGACATCACTTAGATCAGAGAGCAGCGGAGATCTCTGGTGGGTTTTGAGTTTTCATTCTTCTGCCCCACAGCCAGCTGGACGATGGAATATGTTTGTATGTTTTAAATATTCCTGTCAGCAGCCAAGTGTGATAGTAATCTCGTGATCACAACAGCTCATCTTTCTGAAGACTTCATTTGGAGTTAGGGCCATGGGCAGGAGATTCTTTATAGAACATTAAAGATAATTCTAGACAAAAATCAGAGCAGTACTAACTTCCCTTTCTTCAGATTCCCTGATGTTTTATATTTGCTCACATCTCAAGTTTGTCTCTTCTCAGAGGAATGCCAGGGAGAAATTGGTGTCGACTCAAATGAGATGTTGTATGCAAGAGTGTAGATTCTGTAGCTACAAATCCATCAACTACTAATCAGAAACCAAACAATATCTTCAAGGGTTAAGAAGAGGGCAGACTCGGCATTTCCTCTCCATTCACTCAGCATGCTAGCACCCCAGATCTTTTAGCCTCCCTGGCAATCTGCACGGACTTTCTGAATGGAGAAGCTCCTGAAGTCTAATGACTGAAGAGACACATTATTCTCGTTACCAACCGGAGACAGTTGCCGTTCGTGCTAGAGAAGAAAGCAGCTCTACTGTGGGGCATGAAATCAAATTTTCCAGGTAGCAGCAAGTAATTGATACCGTGGGGTGACCTTTGCCTGAAGCAGCCCATTTCAATCTGTGGTGCCCAGTCATGGGGCTGCTCCCATCCTAAAGCAGGGCCTGGGTTTTCAGGTCACTTCTACATCTTTCTCGTAAGTGTTCCCCATTCTCGTCATCTTTGTTCTTTCAGCCTTTGTTTGAATTCAGACGCCCCCAGTGGACTCATACATTTTTTATGAAATTATTAATCTATCCACCTGCGACACACTAAATTGGAATCAGATTCATCAACTTGCTCTGTGGCTCCAGGGTTAGAGTTTGGTTTGGTTTGGGGCATACAGCCTTGTTTTTTTGTGGGTTTTCATGTTCCGCCTTTAAAAGCATAGTCATCAGAAAGGTTTCTGAAAAGCAGAAAGACAGGAGCTTGGATAAGCCAGATCATTTTCCCCCCTCTACTGACTACTCCTTTATATATTGGAAATTAATTGGCTTCTTTTGGATCGTGTGAGAGCATCTATTACCAGGAGAGAGCTGCAAGATGACTGTTGACTATATTTGCATGCCAGTTTAGGATGAGAATGGAAACTGTTAGGGAGACTTCACATGCCCGTCTTTTAGAATGCCTCAAGAATTAAATCATCTTGGAAATTCACTTTCTAGCCTATTGTCAGTCTTGAAATTCTTGACATTGGGTATTTAATGGCTTTCAAATCAGAATTAGTTGGTCCAAAGCTCAAAGTTTTTGTAAATGCCTTAGGTAAGGAAAATGGACTGAAAAATCCTAATGTCACAATTTGGGACATAAATTATGTAACTGCAAAGAGCAGAGTAAGAGATCACAGCTCCTAGAGCCAATTTAGATTTTAATCAGATTTTTCATTCCAATTTTAATTAGAGCATTTGACTTAGAAAAATGACTATTAGCAAAACTGACTGCCAGTAAAGCAAAAGAGAAAAATTAATTGGAAAAAAATGTACCCGGCTGCTCCGAAGATTTGTGGCATATGCTGGGAAATGGAGCAGGAGAACGCTTAATGAACTCTCATAACACAGTAGTATTTCTCTTTCCAGACATAGAGAAAAATGTGTGTGTCACTTTTTTCTCCATAGATGCTGACATAAGTAAAAACAAGAAAAAGCCCTTGAAAAAAATTAAAAACCCAACAATAATGGACTGTAGCTCATGGTTAACTTTTCTTCCCTGGTCTGATCAGGCTAATCTCTAAGATACGAATCAGTCAGCTTGTATTTGCTTAAGCTTTGCTTGTTTGCCCAGAGACCAGGAAAATGATTGAAGAGATGTCAGGCATGGGTCCTGCTCTTGGGAAGTGTACAGTCTCATTGCACAAATAAGCAGAGGAGGAAATGCTGAGAAAACAGGTAGCGAAGCCCTGATGCTCTGAAAGCTAAGGGGAGGTGACAGTCACTTGGTTCCGTCAACGCTAAGTCTAATGATGTACAGGACTGGAAGGTGGACAGAATTTGGGCAGACACAGGTAAGTCAAGAGAGGGTAGATGAGCATCCCAGGGCCAAATTGGACGCTGATTAAAAGAAAGTCAAAGGGGCCGACGGGGGAAAGCTGTGACTGTGTGTCTGTGCGGGGGGAAAGCTGTGACTGTGTGTGTCTGTGCGGAGGAAAGCTGTGACTGTGTCTGGAGGGAGGAAGCTGTGACTGTGTGTCTGTGCGGGGGGGAAAGCTGTGACTATGTGTCTGTGCTGTGCTCTGTCCCTGTAGGCACTGGAGGTCTACAGGCGAGGATACAGTTCTGAGCAGTAAGAGACAACAAAGACTGGCATGGCGTATGTGGACAAAAGTGACAAGAAAAGCCTCCCCAGATCACATTGAGCTGGACTTGGAAGGACACACCACGTTTTGCCAAATAGAGAAGAAAGCAAGCACAGAAGGGGAAGGTCAAAATTAATTGGAAACTTAGGCTGTCAAATTAAAGATGGGGATTTAAAAACCCACCAGAAGAGCTGTCAGTATGTTCTGTAATCTTAGCCAACCCATCTATGGGTTTTCCCAAAGGAAAATGTAAAAAAAAAGAAAACAGTGCATACCTTGCCAAACATGAAAACCTTTATGGAGACTTAAAACAAAAACAAACAAAATAGCAACTTAGAACTGTCATGGAAAACATCAGGGGCTGGGGAGACAGACTGAGTGTGAAACTCCAGCATCCATGTAAACAGCTGGGCAAACGTGGCATCCGCCTGTAAACCCCAGCATTTGGGAGGCAGAAACAGGGCTACCCAGGCAAGCTGGCTGGCTAGACTATCAAGCATCAGTGAGCTTCAGGTTCATCAAGAGACCTGGGCTGAGTAAATAAAGCAGTGAGTAATAGGGGAAGGCACGCAACATCAGCTCCAGCTCTCCACAAAAACACACACATGCACACATGTGCTCAAACAGGCACCTACCCACATGCACCCCCAACACATGTGAACTCATACACACAAAAACATGCATGAGCTGAAACAAAGGAGAAAATTTTGGCTATTTCATAGCAAGAATTCACACACACATACACACAAAGGGAGAGAGGATAATAGGGGGAAGAAATGAAGGAAGGGATTCCTGGTAGGGATGGTATGGACAATAAACCATCTGTGTAAAACGGGACATGATGTAGGTGGTCACACTGAAGATGACGGAGAGCAAATAGTGGGATGTGAAGCAGGACCAAGCTACATCCTTCAAAACCCGTACCCCAGTGGCCAGCAGCCAGACCTCACCTGCTGAAGCTGTAACAATCTCTCAGAACAGTGTTATCAGTGGACCAAGTATTCACACACCCCATCCTGTGGGGGACATAACACACACAAATCACTATACTGGACAGGCTCTAAGTGTCCCTGTGCTCCTGGGAAATGTCAACACAAGAAAACTAGGGTGACTGAAAAGAAGTTAGGAAGGTTGGGAGTGGGAAGGAAATACAAGATCACACAGTCCTGGCCACTGTGTCACAAGAATCCACCAAGTGACAGAGCCGGCTATCTGCCAGAGCACCTGCAGGAAAGCCCTTAGTCAAAACCACACAGTCCAAAGATGGAGAGAAAGCCCTCTGCAGACACTCTCCTGTCTCTGTCTGTCCAGAGGAATCCTGCTGAAGTCAGTCCCCCTACCCTTCTGGACCGAGTCACTTTGGAAATGACTTGGCCTGTTTGGAAAACATTTCTTTCAGGGAGGTAGACCCTGAAGCGTGTGAAGTGGCCTCTTGTGAAGTGAAGGGTGCTGAAGACAGCACTGCAGGCCCTTGAGGTCCTGAATGAATCCCTTCCCTGCCCTCAGCTGCCAGTCGTAGACTGAAGATCCCAGGGAACAGTGAGGCTGGGAGAATTTGAGGAGGCTTGACCACACATACAATCAATTGTGGTCAGTCTTCTGATGTGCCAAGAAATTTCCAGAACCACCGCTTCTTTGATTTCTGCAAATTTATCCTCATTCAGCCCAGTTATTTAGGTCTTCTACAAGGGCAACGTGAGGCTTGGAAAGCAAAACCCACATTGGTTTAATGCTGTCACTTAGGAGTTCTCCGGTCAACTGATTAAGCAACAGATGGAAAAGTGAGTTGTTTTTAGTCAAGACTGCAGAAAAAGTGAGTTCTTGATCATGTTTGCTTAAGTTTGATTTCTCAGCAAAATCTTTTCTTTCTTTTTAAATGGGGAAGGGGCCAAGTCGTGTGGCTTGGCGCCTGTTTCCTTAAGAAAAGGGCATGGAAGGGAGGTAAGATGCACAGGGGAAAAGAAACGCATGGCAGTTAAAACACAATGTGTTTGGGGAAATGGTCCTGAGATGCACGGAGCCATCTCCATCACTGCCCCATCTGACAAACTCGTGAATCTGGAGCCTGCTTCAGGACCAAATACTTCAGTAAAGCAAAAGAAAACCACGCCATCCATTGAGGTGGTAACCAGCCTATGGCAAGGATAGCAGGCTTCCCCTGGAAGAGTTGCTCTTAAGCCTTAAATCCTGATGCTATCAGCAGTTGATTGGCAACTTTGAGTCCATGTGAACTGCTTCTCAGCTGGTGGCTCCTAATTAACCTCTGTGCCCCCCCCCCAGCTGTCTATAAATCAGAAGGGTCCCCGAATTTGGTCTGCATTTAAGTCAACTGAGGCCCCAAGGCCAGCTGCCTTCTGTCTGGTCAAGCTAATCCTGACTACTTTTCAAAAAATAAAAACATCAGCTGTACCTGAAAGTACAAAGAAGCAGGCTGTGCGGGTGGAAGAACTGAAAGAGGTTAATGTTTTTCTCTTTTGTCTGCTTGAATTCCCTGTTTTTCAAGGTCTCCAATATGACTCATTAGAAGAGAGAATTCAGAATGCCCCTTTCTAACTAAACTTACAGTCAAAGGAACCAGTTTGATTACTTTTGTCTAAACAATTTGGGTATTGTGTAAAATTTTCACCTGGTGTGTATGTGCTTTTCAAAAATCCAATCATTTTCACACCATTTTATAGTTTCTGGTGTCTCTGGATAATGTTTTAATTGGCTTAGTTTTATGAAAAGAAATAGCTACTTTAGCCTTGTCTAAGAAATAATATTGTGAAGTTTCCATTGTGATGTGCTCGGTAGGTGCTTAATTTTAGATTGTTTCTAGACTGTTCAGTGCCAAAATATTCAAATTTCTAGGCCCATGATGCATAATAAAGTGTTGACGTGATACTATTCAGTTACAGCAGAGAAACTATACAGTGGAAATAAAACAGTATCAAAGACCTACATCCCTGAAAATAGGAATGGGAGCCTAAACTGGTTTGTTTATTTGGTTTTAAAAGAAAAGCATTGTGGGAATGAAGGATGGCTAAGCCTTTAACAGCCCTGGCTACACTGCCAGAGGATCCAGGTTCCCTTCCCAACACCCACACAGCAGTTCACAACCATCTATAACTCAAACTCCAGGGCATAAAACATCGTCCTTGCTTCCATGGGCATCAGGCACTCAAGTGGTACTTAGACATACATGCAGAGAAAACACTCATTCGTGCATATAGAAGAAAAGACAATTTACAAATAAAAGAGGAGCACTACGATAGTCATAACCTGTCAGGAAGCATTAATTCCCTGCTCCCTAGGCGGCACTGTCTGCAAGAATCCATACCTGCATTCACTCCTTTTCAATTTTAAAGAGAGATGTTTGTGTGCATATGGAGGTGTTCAGAAATCCAACTCTGTGTGGGTCCTCAGGTGCTGTCCATGTTGTGTTCAAAGGCAGAGGTGTCTCACTGAAGCTTCGGTTCACCAGACTATCTAGCTAGACTGGCCGGCAAGCCCCAGGGAATCCTCCAGCCTCAGCTTCCATGACACTCACTGTACAGACATACACCACCATCCACTCTTGGGTTTTCCCTGGGTACTCCAGACCAAAGGCAGGTAGGTTGTATGACCAACACTTCACAGCTAAACTATCTTCCCCATCCCTTGTAATTTAAGTCCTTATAGTGCACCTAAAATAACCACCAGGAGAAATTTGTCCTGTATTATGTCACACCAAACTGTATGCTGTACTTAAAATAGTGAGTTAGACTGAATTTGGTCCATTAATTGGAGGGAGAGGCTGTAGCCAAGCGACTTCAGTCCTAAATTCCTGGACTAACTGTTCCTGGTTTCTGGATGTCCCACTCACTAAGCCCAGCACATTGAAGACAATGTACAGAAAAAAAAAACAGACACCCTGGGTAGACACACAAGCCAGGGCTCACATCCCTGTCTTCCTTCCTTCCAGGAAGTTGACCTCATTTCACTGCCTCAAGATTGTGCCAAATAGAAAATACAAATGTGAAGTGTGCAGATAGTTAAACACTAAGGAGTTAAAGAAAACCAAGCTATGCTTGGGACTCGAGGGAAGCAATGGAGTGGGGGGGTCCCCTTGAGGATGGCGAGACGCTCCACAGAGCCATGACAAGTGAGAATTGCTTCCAAAAGCACCCAGCTAGGATCTCTGGAAATTGTCCTAAAAGCCTATAGAAAATCAAGAAGCCTTCATTCAAGAAATCCCAGTTGGGTTTGGTAAGACCAGCCTGAGTGTGTGGCACCTGACCCCTCCACTCTCCACCTCCCCAACGCCCCACAGCCCTTAGACCCAGCAGCTCCAGGCTGGGTGTGTGAGGTCTAGTGCAGAGGCACAGCACATGACTGAGGAAGGTTGGCCATGGTTTCTCATCCTCTTATGCTCGGCGTTTCAGCCAAAAATGCTGAGTGGGATAAGATCCTGCGAAGGATGGACGGGGGATGACCCACAAAGGAGAGCACTGCTCAAACTGCTGTCACCATAAAATGACCTTGTACACAATTGAGTCTCCATCTTCTAACTGTATCATGAGCTTCCCCCGAGATAGGAAGTAACTGTAAAACGAACCACCCAAGTGATTCAGTAAACAATAGTCAAATAAACCTCAGAGAGAGGAAAGCGACCAGTATCTACCAGGCTGCAATATTTTATCTAAAAGCATTCAGTTTCCAACAAAAATTGAGATGTGGAAGGAAAGTTGAGAAGTGTGGCCCATGCACAGGGAAAATGTCAAGCAACAGAAACAGCTTACAAAAGAGCAGGTTACCAAGCAACAGAAATGCCTGTGAGAGGGCAAGTTACCAGGCAACGGAAACCACCTGGGAGAGGGCAGGTTACCTGGAGTTGACAACAGAGACTACAAAACACCAAAGAAAAGATGTCTTAAAAATTAAAATGGTCTGATGGCAGTGTCTAATGAAGTAGAGAATACTAATGAAGAGATAGAAATTCTACAAACTGTAAATTGTTTAGACATTTTTAAAACAGGGATCTATCTTTTCTCTTATATACTCTTTGGTAAGTCACTAATTCCTACCATTATGAACCCATATGTATTTATTTGATCTTGAGTTATGAACCAGTATTGTTTTATTTTATCATTTAAATTTGCCAGCTTCGGACATTTGAGAGCTGTTTCCCTTTTTGATATATTTTT